ACAATAATAATAAAAACAAATAATAACAATAAAAAAAAATGGGAATATAAATCATAAAGAATTTTATAAAATATATAATTATTTTCATACATATATCTAATATAATTATATATATATTTATAATTAAAAATAAGATTTTTATTCTAATTTTTTCTGATTAAAATTTTATTTTATTTATTTTAATATAATAATATAATAATATTTTAATATAATAAAAATAAAATAAAATATTTTACAATATAAATATTGTAATTTGAGAATTATTTGAATAAATTAAAATATCTATTGATAGTTTATGAGATAATAAACAACTTGAAAGTTTTAAGATAAATATTATGCAATTTTTTAATTTCTATTCCTCAAAGCTGAGTATTTATTTGTTATATATTTGCGTATAGCATCAACGTTAATTCATTTACCTATGTACAATTATTTACCAACCCACTATTAATTCCATGTAATGTTGGATACGCAACGAATAAATTTTCTATCTAAAAAGACAACGTAATGCAATGCAATATTTACTTTTGTATTTATATTTTCTGTAGCATACAAATTTTAAAAAATTAATATATCTAAAAATTCTAAAAAAAATTTAATTTTAATCAGAATGCACGAAATAATTAAAAAATCATTTCTCATATTATTTTATTTTTCTTTTTACAAATAATATACAATAATTTTCGAACAAATTTAAAGATAAAATTATTATATAATTGTTATATTTGTTAAGTATTATTAGTATTATAAATAGTTATGATTATTATAGTTGTATAAGTAAAGCTTAAAACAAATACAAAAATCTAAGTAAGAGTTATACAATTCACAAAAATTAAAAGTATATAAGGGAATAAAAAGGGAATAAAATTTGAATTCGCATATATTAATAAAAATATTTAATAAATCCAATTTTAGCAATATAATCTTTTTTAAGATAAATTTCTATTTGTTCAAATGAGTATTATTTATGGCATTCACGAAATATATGAAATAAATATTTTTTATAACTCTTATATAAAAAATGATTTATTAGATATTACGATATTACTTAATTTTTATTATTATTAAAAATTATTATTAGCAAAAAAAATTTTCAGATAGAATTTTAAAAAATATTTCGAATAGTTTTTGAGTGGAAGATTATTCTAATATTATTAATTTTTTTTTAAAAATGGATACATAAAGAATAAATGTGAAGATCATTCCATTTTTCTAAATAGAATTATATATTTTTTATTGTACCAGTTTATTGTACAATTTAATATTTTCTATAAAAAAGTATTAATTATTATTAAAATTATTATTTATTATAATATTCAAAAATTATTCTTATTTCAAAAATTAATTTAAGAAATATTTTAACTTGAAATTTATAAAATTTACTATATAAAAGATAAAGATACGCAAAACGATCTTTATCTCTATTGTTTATGCTTTTCTTGTTTTTTATGTGATAAATTTTACGAAATTCAGGTTAAAATATCTCTTAAATTAAAAATTTTTTTATATAAATAGTTGAATACTTTTTTAAAGAAATAAGAACTGCACCCATTAGTATAAAAAAATGATTCCAGAAATTGAAGTTATTCTTTACATAAATCTACTTCTTTATGTATAACATTTATCTATAAAAAATTTAAATTATTTACATTTTTTAATCAAATTAATAGATAACGATGTATTTTAGATTCTATAAGAAGTAATTTTTTTTTTATCCTATATCTTATATATACTTATTCATACCTAATATATTTTTTATTTTAACAAAAATAATGTTAAAAATATTCCTTATATTATATTTAAAAAATATAATTCTAAAACAATATAAAACAATCTAAAATAATATAAAAAAATAATATGATATAAGAATATTTTTTTGTTCTAATAAATTTTTTTTATTCTAATAAATTTTTTTAAGAAACAAGTTTTACACATTATATTTCTTAAAATTAAAATTTTTTTAAATTTATTTACTATTGTTATTATCAAGTTTTATTAGTTTAACATATTTATATTTAATATGTATTTAATATAATGCAGCACAAAAAAATCAGCGAATTTTTATGTGAAATGTGTTCCATTATATTATTTTTAATATTTTTAAAGACTTTATATAAGAAAAAAGTCCTTTTTTCATTTAAAAGAATATAATATGAATGTTCCTGTCATCTGATGCATGATAGAAGTTTAATAGGAAAATCTGCATTTTTCTTAATTTGCTTTTTTAGGCATCTATATATATTATACGTATATATACATATTCATATAACTGTGGAAACGCTTGGAAATGTTATAAAATTAATATATACTATATTTATACTATGTATATTTATGTATAATTATGATATTCCGCAAAGCATTTATCAAGACAGAGACCTGGTTTATCTGGACACATTGGACAATAAAATAATCCTTCTTTTCTTACACCTTTAGCATAGCAGATCTTACACCTCTTGCGTGTTTTTTTCTCTCCTCCCTGGCCTGATATTGCTGGCAAATGAACATTGTTTCCCATTGGTTTGTAGATTGCATGTAAGCGGGGCTTATTCTTATAAATAAGTTCATCAATAACCGCTTCTCTAAATTTTAGAAATGTCATTTTTTGTCTTGCATTTTGTCGATGTAACAAATACGCATTATTCATAATAATGTGAAATATATGTAAGGCTACTTTCACATACCATCGAATTGTTTTTTTCTCGCATGGATAATATGTCAAAAATTGATCGGCATGATCAATTCCATTCATACAATCATTATATTTATCTACCATCTCTGGTTTTTGTACTTCTTTACCATTCTTTATTTTTAAATTTATTAGATCTGGTTTATATTCAGATGAAATCATTATTATATCTCGCTTGTCATGCCATTTTAGAATACATATACCTTCAGGAGTGTAGCGTGCTTCTACTTCATCTTTTTTAACTTTTTTTCGTATAACATCGAGAGGATTATTTTTTCTATTCGATCTTAGTGCACCAGTTGAATAAGTATTATTATACAACAACTCTCTAACTAATGATATACTTGTATAATATTTATCAAAAAAAACTGAATGTCCCTTTCCCAAAAAATCCGTAAGTAACATTTTTAAAACTTTTTCTATGTGTCCAATTCCTCCAATAACAGGATCTCGTGAACCACAATAAATTAAATTACGCAATACAAGTCCATTAGGTTCGGTCAGCATATAAAATTTTAATCTAAATTTATGCGATTTTTTTTTTATATACTGATGAAAGTATAAACTATTTTTCCATAATGACATAGGTTCATGTAAACTTAAATTTTTTCGAGGATAATAAATTTCTCGCATTGTATTATTAAAATGATCAAGAAGTGGCCGAATTTTGTATAATGGATCTGATAACTTGGATTGTTCTGTTTCAGGATTTTTAGAAAAATATAAAGCGCACATTATATTATGAAATCTGTCTCTTGGCATTGCATTAGAAAAGGATGGAAAATCATATAAATCATTTTTTTTCCAATAATGGGCAAAAGAGGGAGCTCGAATATTTGCGGATAAAAATATTAATCCTAGAAAAATCTCTAGATCTCTTTTTGTTATTTCTTTAAAACTTTTTATCCTAGATTTACGATAAGTTGAGGATTGCAATAATTTACGCCCTTGTATATTCGTTTCGCATAATATTAAATCAAATAATTTATCATTGGCTAATAAACGAAAAAAATCTATTGGTTCTTCAGAAGTCATAGATGTTAAAAGGCCAGGATTTCCAATAAAAGAAATGCTTGGAGCAATAGGCCGAACAGGATGCCATATAATCATAGAAGTACCTGATTTAAACCAAGGTGAAGTAGATTGAGAGAAAGATATTTCTTGATCACTTTCTTCACATTCTTCTTGTGAAACATCTGTTGTAGAACAATCAAAATCCGAATTATTATCACTATCTGTGTCTAAAAAAATATCCACCATTGTTTCTTCGGATAAAAACTTCTTGACATTTTTTATCCTTCCAAATGTCGATGATTGAGAATTTGATAAAGAAACATCATCATCCTCACTTCTTTCTCTTTTTGGCACGACTATAAAAATTAAATATTATGAAAATATATCCATAAGGAAATCAGAAAATTAATTTTAAAATAAATAAATAGAATAGAAATATTGATAAAAAATAAATAAATATAAGACATAAAAAATATTATTGATTTTGATAAATATAAAAAACACTAGTAAAACTATGAAAAATATATAAAATCGAAAACAATTGTATATGCAATAAAAATATTCATATTAAATGCAACAGAAAAACAAATACCTGGAAAATTATTTGTTTCGAACATTTTTTGGAAGAGTTTATGACGTGGTCGTTCACGTCATCCGCCATAAGAGAAAATCTCGATAATGTACATATCATTGAATACTAACACGTTCAATGCGATATCAAAAATCAAAGAGGAATATTGATTTTTGGTAAATATATAAATAGTTTGATAAATATAATAAATATAATAAAATGACGAAAAATGCAACGAAATCCAAAATAACTATATATACTAGTAATATTTATATTGAACGTATATATAAAAGAAAAGACGGATATGTAAAAAATTATTCATTTCTTAAAAAATTTATGACGCAACCATATGCGTCAACCGTCATAGAATAGGAAATTCCTATGACGTGTACGTTCACGTCATTCGTGTTGAATATATTAAAACAATTAATTAACATTTTTAAATCTAATAAAATTCAAATTTATTAAAAATATAAGAAAATTATTTAAATAAGAAAGAAATCAATTTTATAGAATAAAAAAAAATTATTTTTATATTTAAATTCATAATAATAGAAATCTTTTATTTTTCCCTAGAAGTCTATGCAAAATCAGTGACTTTTAGAATGAATTATTGGCTGTATTGAATATACTTAAATTTTAGATAATTTCATTGTTTACGCTTATACTTCTTATTTTTATAAAATGGCATATTGTCAAAGTTATACACCCGATTATTTTGCATTAAATGATATTTTATCTACTGAAGAACGGGTATCTTGTAAAATTGAAATAGAGTTGCTTGGTTTAGGTAATTATTTATGTATCATTACATTTTCTATTGAGGTTATATTAAGTTATCTATTACTTTAATATTCAATTTTCCTTTAATATTTGTTTTTATTTTGCTTTTTTCTTCTTTGCTAATTTATTATTTGTTAAATTTATAAATTATAAATTACATTTCTATTTAATTATTTTTTATTTAACATATAGTTATTTATAGTGAAATTATACATATTAAAATATATTACAAATGTGTATGGATAGAATTCTTAGCTAATAACAAAATAAGAATATTGATAAAAATTTTTAATTTTTAATTTTTATCAAATTCTATTTTAATATATTTTTATAATTTATATAAAATGTCAAAACATGTCAAAATTATTTTTTATTACAAAACATAGCTAAAACATGAAAATAATTAAAATCTTATATTCAATATCATTTAACAAAAATATTTTTGTTATTATCTAAGGAGATACATCAAATTGTTCATTTTTTTGAAGCCTTCAATATTATAGTATAGCATTCACTTATATGATAAATGTTGCAAAGGAAAATTTTATAAAAATAAATATAATATATTATATATAATAATGAACAAAATATAGCTACAAATGAACAATAATGAATTTATGATTCATTATTTAAATACTAGAATAATTAATAAAAATATTACAAAAAATATATAGCAATATTTCTAAAACTCTATTGCATGTTAACTGCAAACATGTTAACTTAATAAAATAAATAAAATTAATATTATTAGAAATAATACAATAAATTAAAATAGAATTTATGTAATATTTGGATAAAAATGAATTTATAAATTCGTAATAAAATCTCATAAAAAATTTTAAAAACTTAATAAATAAACAAATATATATATATATGTGTGTGTGTATAAAATATGATTTAAATGTACATGATTATTTCTATAAATATTAAAAATAAAAAAATGTATCTGAGATAGTTAAATAATGATGATATATTATATTATATATATATTTGACTTTATTATTACTTTCGAGATTACATGTCTGGATAGTATTTTAAAAAACTTTTAATTTCAGTTATAAGAATATGTAATAAAAAATATATTCATTTAAAAATTTAACTTGTGATTTTCACAGATTCTCATCAATTATCAACAATAAAATCAAATAATTATTATTGTGATGTTCCTTAACTACTATACAACTGTTTGTTCTGAACATTCTATTTCAAAATTTTTTGTATTTTTAATATAATTATATTACAAAAATAAAAATTGCATGTTTACATTTAAATTAGATTATATTATTGATATTTATATAATAGAAATATATAAACATAAAATATATAGACTTTATTTAATATTAAACTTATATAATATATTTTATATAAAGAAGATAATAAAATATAAAATATATTTCTAAATATAAATGCAAAATAATATTGAAATTATTATTATAAAATTATCTTAAAATAATTCATTACTTACTATTATAATATAAATTTGAATATAATAAAACAGATTTAATTGATGTACTATATTGTATAATTTACACTGTGAGTGACTATATGTATAATAGATAATGTAAAATTTATAATAATATAATTATTTTTTATCTAATTTTTTATTAATAAATATAGATAATATTATTAATTTAGTATTTTACTATTAATAATACATAATGAATTATAAAAAATTTTTATAATCTTTTTCTTTAAAAAAATGCTTATTACAATTAAAAGAATTTAAAAGATTTTAATAATAAAGAAATCTAAGATTATTAAACTATTATTAAAAAGGAGAAGAAGAAAAAATATAATGTATATTTTACAAAACAAGTTTAGGTAATAAAAAATAATAATATAACTTTGATAAAATTTTTAATATTTTATATATATATGTATATATAATTTTTTGAAATATATATCATTTTTTGGATTCAGGTTTTTTGGATTCTTCATCTACATCTAGAGATTTAAAGGTAGGATCAAAAGTAGAATTTCCATTATGGTTAGCAGAATCATTAAAGAATTTGAAAGATTCAATAGTTAGTATTGATGTACCAAATATATATAAAGAAGGATACAGGTTTGATTTCTAATTTTTATTTGAATTGTTATTGTTTAATCAATTTTTTGTTATTTCCTATGTAATATTCATTTCTATTATTTTTATTATTTACAATGTATTATTAGGGAAATTTTAGAAGCAGATGCTGATGCTATTGTCTTAAGTAAATGGAATCCATTTTATTATGAAATAGGAATGCATGTAAGAAAATTTAATGATAGAGATTCTGAACAAATCACAGAAAGCTTATTACAGGTAAATAAATTAGTCAAAATAATTATTGTGTTTTTTTGTTTTTAAATATTAGTTAAATAGTTAAATTAATAATTAAATTAAATATTAGTTAAATATTTATTAAATTATAATTAATAATAAATTTTGTTTGTGAAAAATTATGAAATTTGAACTTTTTGTTGATATAAATATGATATATAATTGTAGAATTAAATATTTTATTTAAGTGAGTATTTAAGTAGTAAATTAAATCACTTAAATACTTGATCTCATATTAATTTTTGCTTTTGTTTTATTGACATTTAATTGTTAGTATATATTTTTTCTTAGAAGATTAAACATTAAATTAAAAGTATTGTGTAGTTTTAAAATACAATAACAAATAATGGCATGTTTTGCCAATATAATTGTCAATATAAAATTGTTATAGTTAATTTTATATTTTTTTTATTTATTTTTATATGATTCTAATTTCTTTGAATTTTGCAAAATAAAAATAATGATACTTCTTAATTGTCAATGATTTGAGTACAATGTTCATAAAAAATGTGGCAGTATCAATTATATGTATATATACGTATATTTTCTATTATTATTATATATATTCTATAAAGATTATTTTAAAAAGAATTAATAATTTAATTAATTTATATATATATATAATTTATATATATGTACGTTTATTTTAATTGTATTTTCTTAATTTAATAATAATATTTAATAATAATATAATTTTAATAATATGAAATTTAATAATTTTTAACTATAATATATACTACATAATATTATTCTTTCTTTTTATCAATTCTTTTTGAAGTGAATGAAAAAATAATTTTAGAAATGATTCTACAAATATAATCTATAATATTATGTGTATAATATTTTATGTATAATATATATTTTATACTTTTCAATTGTCAGGTACTTAATGTTAATATTAAAATAAGATTCTAAAATAATTTTAAGGTAAAATAATTTATAATTTGTAAATAATATTTATAAACTAATTTATTGTAGTAATTGCAGAAAAGGAAATCTTATTAATTTCAAGAAATAATATTTTAAACAACTTTTCTCTATGCATATAATTGATAGCCTTAGTTTTCGAGATATCAGCAAAAATTTTTAATATTTCATATCGTAAGTAATTATGTAATTTAAAGGATTTTAGTTATAATGATCTTAATCTTAAAATATAATTAGTTGCAAAATTAATTAATAATTTTATACACATTAGAATTATATTT